CCCCCCCCCCCGGGCATATGACCACCGACTGTAATTCATGCGCCGGCTTCATCGCTGCTCAGTACGTTTAATACAACGACTTAAAATCCTTGCGCTGGTAAAATCCCGGTTTCTCTGAGATTTATGGTTGTGTGGATCGTTGGTATTTCACTTGATTACTAGAACGCAATTGCGTGCGACGCAATGCGCTCCATCATAATTCGTTTACGATTAAAAAGAGATTGCCTACATCAATGACTAATTTAATTCAGTTCAAAGTATGCAAATAAACACAACAGTACTATGCAATCCTCGCAAGTGTAACAAGGGTTTAAAGTAAGAGCAGACAACGACAACTGAAGTTAATTTAAGAATGACTTCAGACAGTTTGAAAGAATCGATTTTCGACCAAGGCCACGTTTAATTCCTCTAACATTAAGATGGCGATTATCTTTGTCTTGTCAGCGACACCGGCATACTCGGAAAAGAATTTCGAGTTCTCCAGCTAGGAGATGGTTACTTGTGGTTACTAGTTCAGATGCTCCATCACTGAGTACATGCTACAGCCATAACACAAAGTTCGTGTAACAAACATCCTGCATGCTGCTCAATGTCGATACATATTCCATTTGGAAATCGATTTGAGCGCGGGGATTCCACCGCAAACGCCAGTGCTCGCAAAATACATTGGAAAAATATTCAAGTAGTCAATTCTTCGAAAGCGTCAGCATTACGGGTTCGAAATTCTTTGTACGGAGTTGTAATATGCGAAAAGCGACCAAAGCGGAAGTTCAAAACATTGAAATCTGCGGAAGATACTTACATATGCGCTTCAGCCTGAAAACACTAAATTCAATTAACTCTTACCTGAGAAAGTGAACCTCTCTTTGGGCGTCTGGCAGTTACCAAGAAGCTAGAAAAAAAAATAACGAATTAATGGCGCAACACGATTAACGATTGAGTTCGATTTGCACGACCGTAAGTACTTATATCTTAATCTTGCATGGTCACGAGACAGTTAGCTGTCAACAGGCTGTCTGGGATTCGTTTGTATTCACAAAGGAGGACTGACCGATTCTGGATGAAGATCACTCAGCTACAAAATTCTAGGATTCCATATTTATGGTATCCGTTGTTTAACAGTGAATTTTGTTGGGTTATTATTGATCAGTTGTGTAAAGACTGTAAACGGCATGCACGAAATCGGCCACTTCCGCCTTCGCAAACTGCCATTAAGGAAATAGTCAAAATACAGTTACGTTTGACATTGACTATTTTATACGGTGATCAGAAAGATAACAATTATTACGAAATTCGAGCTCAAGCCTCCTGAGCACTGGTCTCCAACTTGGTTTACAGTTTACCCAATATAAGTGATAGAGTTAGAATTTAACTAAGTAAGTTTATCTGATATAATTGCCAAAAATAGTATTGAATAATCACGTGATTATTCATGTTTTTATCTAGTCTTCAAAAATCTGACCGCCGCGCCGATTCACAGAAACCTTGCCTGGGAACCAGTCTTTAGTCATTGCCCCACTGCTGAGTCAAGAGGAAAATTACTAGTGTCTTAGCGAAGTTAGGCCTCGTTTTATGACGTTTACGAGTTTACGCGAGATTTGAAGCAGAGCCTCCCGGAACTCAGACTGAACACGACTTTCTCAAAACCAGCGACAAAACGGTGACATGGGTTCTAGACTAAAACCGTAACAAATAAACAGTAGCCTCCATTTGGTACGCAATATGCTCAGATATTTGTCCACGGACATTATCTGTTAGACCGAAGTTCGCGGAAAACTGTGAGCTTCAAGGAACAGATATTTTCCAAGGACAAATATAGTCAGTTTTTTGTAGCGTAGAAAACGTTCTTGACAGGTCGGCCCGGGGCGTACTCCCTAAAATGGACAATGTGGGGAGAGGGCTCCTTTGTTCAGGCTGGAGGTTTTAAAAGGGTACGGTTTTTGGTAGCCTTTATGGCAACCTGGCTTCCACTCTAAAGGTGGTTTATGTAGTGCGTCCACGCAACGGCGCCTAAATGTTTGTTTCGATATCGTGCAGGTTTGAACGGATATGTGTATCCACTTCTGAATGGCTAGTTTCTTGCCCTCTTGGAGGTCAAACAAATTCTTGCATAACATTTATTTTGGTCTCGAGGCCAAACATTACTCCTACGGTTCGTGACAGTAATCCAACCCTTCCAGTGAAGTTTTTTTTGACCGCTTATTCTTATCACTTTTAGCAAAAGGGCAGTGGAATGAGATTAGTTGGATACAACCTTTCAACTCTTGATAGTTGCAGATAATTGCTAAATTTGCAGATGTCTACGAAGTCATAAATCTTCTGGTTTGTTTTAGTATTGCGGAGTTTGACGCCTCTGATCTGCGTTGTTGGTACTATTTGTTTTGGTTCGTTTTTCTTGTCGATTTCTGGGAGCCGTAGGTCCCTAGAATATCGGCGATACAGACCTCCTGTGAGGCAGGTTAGGCTTGCACGACTATAAAAAAAATTAAGTATAGAAAAAGTGGGAAAAACTGTCATTTAGGTAATTTAAAGGCTCTTTCAAAATATCTGGTATACAAATGATGAGGAGGTGCGAAGTCTTTGTTTGGATATGAACTGAATTCATAGTTAACAAATTTAGGATTTTTTAGGATAGAAATGTATCAAATTTCTGGTGGACCTTTTTTTGGGTAGATCACTTTCTGCAGGCCAAGTTTTTTTAGCATCGGTAAAAGCGCACTGTAGGTATGTGAAAGGGTTACTATTCATGGAAGACATCGGGGCGGAGGTATAAGA